AGCTTCTCTCCGCGATAGTCTTAATGGCACAACCTTACTTGTATTATGACTTTCCCGGCGCGTCACCCCGACCTTCAGCCCCGTCGCGCGTGATTAGCCCCATTCAACAGGCGGCAAGCCCACCGGTCTGGAAGTCCCCTGTAAGCTGGCAACTCCCGGCGGGGTTTTCACACCCAATTGGCGTCTGAAAAATGGAGCGAAGGGTGGGGGTGGAAGAGGTGAGGAGATAAGGTCGAAGAGGGATGGTAACGGAAGGCAGACTGCAGCGCCTCAGCTGTTCGTCCCAGCTCCTCCACTCACATATTGGCGCTACGATGGTCGAGTGCAGGGCGCTTCCGTCCACTGAGTCTTCCCACTCCGCGTGCTGCTCTCTCGCTTAGTCCTCGCTGGTCTCGTGAGTCGTTGTCCTCTCGGGAGTGACGCTCCCGCGGGGTTTGTTCTGCAAGCCCCTTCTTCCAGGATCCGGCCATCACCTACGTTTGCCCCGTTCGTATCCACGTTCAGGTCCGCGTTGCATGGACTCTTTCCTGGCCCTTTGGGCCGGGACAGACCCAGTGCCCCGGAGAGCGGCGTCCGTATGCCCCGGGGTGATGCCTGCTCATCGGGCTTTGCTGTCGTGGCGACTTGCTGCGCTCTGATTGGTCGGAGTTCTGGCTCGGACTCAGGGCTTATCCGCGGAGCGGGTGGCTGTATTAGCTGGCTCCTCTCTGGCATGCGGCTCGGCTCTGCACGGGCCTCTCGAGGTCGTCCGCTGGTGGTCTGTCAACCCCAGCGCGGTTGAACGCAAGCGGCGTGGGACGCACTTCCGCTGGATGCCCCGCCCCCCGGGTCCTGCCCTGGACGCGCTTTCAGCACATGGGCCGTGCAGCGCAATCATACCGGGCCACATACTGTGTTGCCGCCGAGGCGTCTCACCTTCATGGTTCTGCTGTCGACAGGGTCCACAGCTGGCCCACCGGCGCGGCCTGCACACCCAAACGCCCTGCCCGGCATCCTGCCCCGTCGCTGGCTTTTTGACTTACATATAGCGACCCGGCTCCTACGCCAAGTAAGAAGGAATTGCAGTGTGTGGGGGGAGGGGTAGAGAGACAAAAAAATATACACACACGGTGACTGACGCATATGCATTGGCGCACTGACATTACATGGGTTTTTACGGAACAAATGCTTTTGTCTTAACATGGCAGCAAGCGTCACTTAACTGGGATTCCGCAACTAGCATTTATCTGTAAATGACTACAGAGCACAGGACCACCCAGACAAGAAAATATGTGAATCCATTCTTATAAAAGGTCGGGGACCGAATCTTAACGTACAGGGCTCATCATGGCCGATTAGGCGAAATGAAATGTGAAGAAATATGAAGTGAAATGTGAAAATAAGGCCATGTGAGGAGCGCAGGTGCCAAGAATGTCGCTGTTGCTATGCTAAGACCATCCTCGTTGTTGGTTAGCATGCAGATATGTAATGTTGGATGAGTTAGATAAAAATGGTGCACAGAGAATAATATCCTCGGCGCCCTAAATAACTCTATTAGACTATTTCGGAGCTGAGATATGGGCCTCGACTTTTTGACTGGCAGAGATGACAAAACTTGCCAGAAATCGGGCCATTTTGCGGGAAAATTCCGCTATCTTGAACTGAAATGGCATGCGCTGCATTTAAGCCCGCGGGGCTCACCATTTACTACCCCCATAAGGGCAGGCCAACCCTGCATCCACCCTGACAACGCTCTCCCTAAGGGTTCAGGATGTGAATTCCAACTTCTCGGTGCGCGTCCCGGAATGCTGCGAGCCCGTCTAGCCCGCCGTATCTCATTTCCATCCAACGTTGCTGCTGTTGTTGCATGTTGTGCTCCTCTACACAGACTGTTTCTAAGCACTTCCGGTTAGGGGTCTTCAGGATAGATCACTGGTGAATGGGTAGCCCCATCCGTTTGTCGGGGGCAGGCTGGAAGCGCAATTCAGCAATAATTTTGTGGCTCTTGTGGAAGCCAACGCCATTTCCCAGCTGAAAATGTTTCATTGAATGTGCTAGGTCGAAAAATTTCGGCTTGTGACAATATTTATGTTTAAACTGGCCCGCAAAAAACAGCGTTTTTGCACCGCCATAGCGTTGGCACCATATGACTTAGTCCCATGATAACGTAACAGCAACGCTACCCAGAATGCAATAATGCGGGGCTTGTTTACAAACGTACTAGTATATCGACTTTGTCCAAAATTGTCATCCCGGAAAATGTTCGATGAAGAATGGAACGCTGAGAACTATAAGTAACACCAGGCCATGCAATATGACAATCTTTATCATCTTTGTATCATAAGCTGTGGTGACATCTTCAACGACCGGCGAGAAGAAGCGAAGCTGTCATCAAATTTGTCTAGAAAACATCCAAAATGTTCATTAATGCCAACACCGATGTGATGTTTAACAAAACATGTATAAGGAACATCCTGCTTTGCGTATGTTTATATGTATATATATATATATATATATATATATATATATATATATATATATATATGTATATACATAAGTGCATTATGCTTATCAAAGGACATGCGCTTAAGTCATGTATCAGATTTCACGCCAGGTAGTCGTCCAGAATTGACCAAGCTAAAGAGCCATTGTAGGTTAAGTCGATCGGATCTGTTATAGAAAATTAGCTTCAGTGCGTGCCCTCGCTCACTAGCGACAGCCTCATGGCGGGGCAATGCGAATACACCTTCAAAAAAAGTTATGTTTCAAAAACACTGCGACGCCAAATGCTCACATGCATCATATATATTTTCGTGATTGACAACGACAAGTTATTCAGATGCCTCTTTCAGTGAAAATGCCAGCATATCGTGCAATTTTCTGTTTCCTGTGAAGATTGTCTAGCCTCCAGAAAATCTAGCCGAATCATGACCGAAGTGACATAACGAGAGAGCATTAGGGGGAGAGGGGGTTGATGCGGCCCTACCCCCGGTGTTTTCAAGCTTATAAAGATAGAGCTTTCTTGCCGCCCGCGACCCGAGCCAGCCATAGATCGCCGTGGAGTGCTTAACACAAACTGCCGCTGCTCCGAAAGCAGAAAATCTAGGAGCACGTTTTGGTATCAAAACCAGTGTCATAATCACCACCTATCATTACGAAGCTTAAACGTCATGTTGTTGCTGCGTTGGGTATTGGCGACGATTTTTCGTGGAACGATATTCCTCATTTGGTGATAACTGCTACCATAGCGGGTAAAACAGAAAAAAAAAACAATGCTTGCTTCCTTCCATATTTACTTGCTTCTAGCTTGACCTCGCGCTGACACAGTCCCATAAGACCAAGCCCCTTGCAACAAACTGTGATCTGTCCGTGGACTGGCGCCGAAAGGTCCCGATGCTCACGAAACTTTCCCCGCCCGAACAACTAGAATGTCTTCATTGACGCACCAGACTGTTCGCACGCGCTTGGCGTCAGGCGGGTTGGCGCGAATGAAAATGGCGCGAACGATAAGATAGTCGACCAAGGCAACCGATCGCTGTTATCGCGTAGGGCGAATTGCGTTGAACGCGTAGGACCGAAGGAAATATGACAAAGATACGGGTATGTAATTTGAATATGATCATAATAGTTTTCAATATGTTCAGCTCCTTCCATCATTTCGCTGATTTTTTTATAATGGATGTAGGAGCACACAGTGCGGTTACGGCAAGCCCAGTGTGTGTGAGGCATGCTGCACATGCTCTTGAAACGGGAAATGCAACAGTGTAGGCGTTGGGCAACAAGCAGCCGATGAGACATGGCAACACCAAGGCAAATGTCAGAACATCATGTCATTGTCGGTATTCAGCGGATACGTGGCGATTAGGCAGTAGTGTGGCGGCAGGTTCTGCCATTTAATTGTTTTTTTCCGCCATGTCATGCGGAGGCAGGCTTTCTTTCATGCACGTCTCGGTTAAAATGACAGCATACCGTGCGGTTGTGTTTCTTCTCACATGTTTCTAGTCTCCATAATATATTGCCTAGTTGTGAAAGGAGCTATATAACGGGAGACGTGTGTCACCAGAATTGGAGTGTGAATGCATGAATACATATCACGTAATGCTTAGAAATATGTGGTTGATGGTGATATTCCATCTGCATGTGTTATGTCGTACGCATGTGTAAGTACCCACTCTCGCTGTCTTACATACTGTTATTGCTACATTGGACATCGGCAATGATGTTTCGTGAAAAGATGATCCCTACTTTGTCAAAAATTGCAACCATGTGAGGCAAGATTGTTTGCTTACTTCAATATTTACTTGCTCCTTGTTTGATCTCACACTGAGCCCGCCCCCGAGAACCCACTCCCACGCGACAAGTCGTAATCTGTCTGGGGTACGGAGCTGGACAACTACGGCGCTTGGGAAATTCAAAGCTGGAAACGTCCCCGTCCGACCAATTATGAATGCCATTAGAACATTTTCATCCACGCGCCGAACTTCACGCGTTTGACAACAGCCCGGCTGGCGCGAATGAAAATGGCGCGAACGACCAGCTGATCGGGCAAGGGAACCGGTGGCCGTAACGTGTAAGTCAGAAGTCAGTGAATCAGACTTCGCATGAGGCCAAGGGAAATATCACCGCGATGCAGGTATGTACCTACATATGTATATATATCCGTGTGTGTGTGTGTGTGTGTGTGTGTGTGTGTGTGTGTGTGTGTGTGTGTGTGTGTGTGTGTGTGTGTGTGTGTGTGTGTGTGTGTGTGTGTGTGTGTGTGTGTGTGTGTGTGTGTGTGTGTGTGTGTGTGTGTGTGTGTGTGTGTGTGTGTGTGTGTGTGTGTGTGTGTGTGTGTGTGTGTGTGTGTGTGTGTGTGTGTGTGTGTGTGTGTGTGTGTGTGTGTGTGTGTGTGTGTGTGTGTGTGTGTGTGTGTGTGTGTGTGTGTGTGTGTGTGTGTGTGTGTGTGTGTGTGTGTGTGTGTGTGTGTGTGTGTGTGTGTGTGTGTGTGTGTGTGTGTGTGCTCTTGTGTGCCGTGAAAACAGAGGACCAAATCCGGTTACACACCCAACAACCCGTCACTGCCGAGGTCCGGTATTCACTACCGAGGTCCAAATGCCGGACCTCGGTTTTCAGAGGCCTTAAATGAGATATTTAGTCTTGTTTGAACATGTTTATTCGATTTTCAGCTGGTCCTCGAAAAACGCAATTATACGCATTTTTACTTCCGGTTGTGTAAAGTGTGTTATCTTGGACGAACTGCGCGCGTGTGTAAGTTTTTCAGGTGGCAAGGTCACGTGGAAGAGAATAGAGATGAATAAGGAAATGCAAAATCACGCTGCTCCATGATGTGGTCTCATCACTTGTAAGTTGTTTGCGTTTGGTATAAGCATTTAAATCACATTGAATCACGTTGAAACTGGTGATGAAAGATATTAATGTAAATTGTGTTAAGTCACATGGGATACGTAGCTCTATCGCCGCCATTGCGCGTTCTTGGAACGAGCGCGACGGTGACGTTGCGGTGTGCGGCCTCTCGGACGAGAAGACTGGGCTTACGTTGGATGCAAGTTATTGTCGTCCGGCAAGGTTTTAAAAAGTGAGTAGTAAATATTCGAAAGGGATTGGTGAACCCTGTTTACCGACAACTGTAGCTAATGGAGGACTGATCTGCCTTGATTGATTAGAGAATGGTGTGCTGATAAGGATAGTTGCTGAAGTGGCAAACATTGTGTTAGCTTTTGAAGGTGGTTGAAGAGATTGACTTCAGCAATATTATGCAATTGTCTGGGTAGGTTTATCACGCTAGACCAGACGTTTGTAAGGGGGATGCTTGCAGTTTTTCTCATGCATTTGCAGTGGGTGTTGTATTACATTTAAAAAATGTTGCCGTTAGGTACTTACAGACATGTTCCCCAACCCCCTAGAACAACACGTTTTTAGAGGCTTTGGGCACCAATTTAGCCTTGAAGGGGAAATCATTACAAACATAAGGTTTTCCATACATCGGAACCTTAGTGTGTGGTAGATACCAGAGCATAAAAGGGTGTGTGCCACATTTGTATGGGTTTCAATTGAAATTAGCCATCTTGAAGATCATTCAGTATGTTACACAGTCCTGCCATTCTTAAGCACCCTTCTAATTTTGTAAACCTTTCTAGTTTCTGATCTACACACCTGCAAAGGTGCGAATATTATTTCGTGGTGACTATTTCAAGGTCACCCAGGCACCCACAACGCGTAATGTCTTCAAATGCTGCCATTTCATTGGCCATGGGGCGATTAAGGCAAGCCATCATATGACCGTTGCGTCGTTCATATCCGGCTTTGTGAATACATTTTCAGACGTAACGGCCGTCGGTTGGCTCAAATCAATGTTGTGCAAGATTACGTAAGTTGTTCAGTGCATTAGCATTAGCAGAGGAGCATTTTTCACATAGCTAAGACAATATTAATAGCCTTATTCGTCGAAGAAAAACCGGGAGAATAAAGATATAGTTGAATTGATATTTCGGCAACATGCCTATATCGAAAAAGTAGCAGAAATAAATTCAAAATTGCCTGCTGGTGGCCCTACCCGATTTTTCAGCTTTTTTGGAAATAGAAAGCCAGTTTTTACAGGACACCAACTCTTAGAGGATTAAACAAAAAGTTATTGCTAGCCGTTACCACGATACGGTGCTTATCTAATAATTAGAATAGGCGACAATACGTGTACATGCAAACTAATTCAAGCAAGTAGGCGTCATGCATTACGCTTCGTTCAAACATACAAACGAGTTGAGGTTAACAGGTATCACAGTCGCGCATCAATTATACATGCAAGCGATTTCAACTGAACAGACATCGCATATCACGCGTCAGGCGTCACTTCACATGTTAACTATTTTAAGCTAGCACACATCGCATATAAAGGCACATATCATGTTCGCAAAATCGGCCAGGATGAGCTTTGTATGTTAAAATTTGGTCGCTGATTTTTTGCAAGAATAGATTAAATTTTTCCCTACCTGGGTGGCCCTCTGCTCTGTAGACGACTTTGGGCTCTAAAAGGGGCATAGGGTCCATACCTCCCTCGATTTCAGCCTGAGCATGTTTTGCCAAAAAATGGTCACCGAAAGGGGTATTCCCTGTTTTGTTTGAGTCTATGTCGGGAAGTCCATACGTCCCTCACGTTTAAGATACAATGAACACCTCCGGGGCGCTAAAAACAAAAAAAAATACTTACTTAGTCCTTAGTTAATCTCCACCCACTGAATAATTTTTAGCATTGTTGCTGTTTCAGGTGATGTTATAGCCACTGGACATTGAAGCGATTGAAGACCAGAAAGCCTTAGTGCGACCGGCTTGATTCAGGTCAGTTGATGTCAGGAAAGTCAAATTATTTAGGAAATGACTACTCTGAAGAGGGTGTGAATCATTTGTGACATGTAGAATTTGTTGTCATCAGCTCTAATCTAGCATTTCATGCATGCTTTTCTTTCTCTATCTACCCCATCACATTGTCCAACACTGCCAACACCACTGCATCGTCCGACCCCCACAAATATGCCACTACACTGCCTGGCTCCACCATCCCTATCAGTGCCTTAACCAGTAGGATGTCATTACAGTGCATGACACCATGCACCCCACCACAATGTCTGGGTCTACCCATCCCACCATGGTGTCTGACCCCTCCAGCTCCATGCGAGTGTCGGCTCCATGCAGCTGACCCCATTGCCCTGCCAGTTTCACCAGTGTCTGATCCTGCCAACACCACCAATGTCTGCCTCCCCCCCTACCACTGTGTGACCATAACAGCTCCTGCATGGTGCGTGACCTCAGTGTAACGCCATTTTGGTATCTCATTCCACCATCCTCATCGCTGGTCTACGCAAGCACGTGTCGACTGTACCAGCCCCACTTTATTCTGCAACCAACGCCACCACCACCTGCACCAACACCACTAACATATCGCGGCCTGCAATTATGTAGGTACACCCGCATCCGCGTTATTGAATGGTCTTGTCAACATTTAGTGCTCCTTCTCTGTGGCACCACCGGTGCATGGCGTCATTCTTTAATGAAACATGCAAAAACATTTTTGTTCTCAGGTGGCTTATAGGTATACCATTGGGAGAGTTAAAGAAGTTTAGTCCTCTAAAAGAAGTCCTCCGGAAAGTTTACTGCAACAAAGGTAACTCAGGCTATATTTGGGATGCTTAAGGACTTACGCGCAACAGCATTTTCATATGCTATTTGCAATATGGAGCATGATATTCTTCGGGAAGGACAGGTTTTGGGGCGTTCGGGTCAAGAGTTTGAGCTCATGGGTCCTCGAGAATATTTACCACGGGCACGGCTACCCGAAGAAAAATGAGAAGCATTGGCGATGGTGGAAATAGGCCTCGCAAGCAGTTTCCCTGCCAAATTCGAACAGGTGGGGTGCAGAAGTTGCTTTAAAAAGTTTTTAGTCACTGGCAGTCTCGGTCTTTTCATTGTATGTGAAATGTGTATGGCTTAGGGTGTTTGCTGCAACATAGTTTCTTTAATTATTTCCTATGAATGGGACGATTGAACCAAGCCTTGGATCATTACTATATGTTGTTTTACGCATTTTACGACGGGATCAATGATATATATATATATATATATATATATATATATATATCTATATCTATATCTATATCTATCTATATATCTATATCTATATATATATATATATATATACATATATATATATATATATACATATATATATATATATATATATATATATATATATATATAATATACATCACCAACGCCGGTTTGTTTGCGCGGAAATCACCGACGCTTTCATGAGCGTGGGGTCCGGCCGCTCACTGAACATAGCTTGTGGTAGCGGGTTTGGCTGCCACATCCGGCTCCGGGCCATAACGGTGTTGCCAAAAACCCATCGAGGGGACACTAAGCATGGTTCTGGTCTGCGCACTCCGGGCAGACCAAAATGCCTGCGAAGAGACCTCGTCTGCGGGGGCTAGACAGACGAGTGTCTCGCAATGGCGTGGAGAAGCCCATCCGCAGCAAGGAGGGGTGTCGGTCTTCCAGCGTGTCACGTTGTCAAAAACAGTTACGGCGTTGGTGTGCATTGGGGCTGCCTCCCATCTGTTTCGCGGCCAGCATCACGGTGTGACGTCGGATAGTTTCAAATGCGATGGTCAGGTCAGCGGTTTGGTTGTCTGGTCTTTTTGTAATTTTTGTTGATGCATTCACATATAGCGTGCAATCACACTCACAATACGCACTCGATCCAAAATCATAAATCAAATATATCATAATGTTTGCATCATGGCGCACACTACCTTCATCCTGCACTACCCGCGATATGGCAGTGATCAGAAAACTGTCCACTCTTACCAACCAGCCAGTAGACATACACTTGGGCTAGGGGGGCGTACTCGCCCGGGGGCTGGGATGACGGTCTGTGGGCCACCGCCGCCTGTCTGTCGTAGTTTCGTCATTTCTTATTGATGCATTGTTTGAGCTTAGAGGCAATAAGCTTTTTACCACAACTCGTTTCGGTTATGCCTCGCTGTCTTACGACTGTTAACCGTATGGCGTGCATGAACAGCATGGCATTGACAGGGCGTAGTAAGCCTAGGACATCAGGGCATGGACTCGCAATTGCCGCATGCGGTCAGCGATGATACTGGAACTGTTGCTCTTCTCTAAATCGATTCCCATCGCAGCTGTGCGTGCGTGGCTACAGGAATGAAGACAGGCACGCCATAGTTTGCCAACGGGCGCGCGTACCATGCATGAGGGCCGTCCGAATCACGGTAGCTGCTGATCGCGTTGACGATGAATGTTGGCGACTCTGCTGTTGTTGGCCTAATTTCAGGTTAAGTTCGGCTGCGTGGCTAGAGCTTAGTACGATTTATTGTTGTCCCCCTCTCTCCGCCCCCATCGCCGCCCCATCACTTCCTTCTTCTTGACGGCAGTGCATGTGCTCTAACAAGATGGGTAATATGTACGCGGACGGGAGGCATGTGGCCTCCGATATTCGTTCACGGATTTGCTGTGAACTGGAAAGCTATCTTTCGGGACACGACTATTGCACAGCTATTTTAATTCCACCACCCGTGAGCCATCAGCGTGGTGCATGCCCACGCTTCTGAACACAAGCATAACTTTCTTTCACGTGGGGGTCACAATCCTGTTCTGAACTGAAATTTCTCATATCTCACCCGTTTTCGACTTTCCAGATTACTCCCGAGAGCGACACTCGTTAAGGATGCGAGTATTTGAAGTTCCGCTTTCAAGCATTGGACGGCCTGCAAATTACCATTGGAGCCAAACTGTATGCATTTTCTAGATGATCTTAAATACGGAGCGGTATTCTAAAGATGTAGTTGTGCAGTGTGTAGTTCGTAGATTACGAAACAACGGAGCGAGAATACAGTTGGCGTTCCGTTTTGGGTCAGTTATTTTGTTTTCCTTTTTCCATGTTTTAAAGTCGCTGTGCTTTATGCTCAGGATCGAAGCAAAATGTACAGGAGTAGGCTGCGATGTGATGCGTGTTGTATAAAACCAATAAACCAAAAATGGCATCTCTGTCTGCAAAGGGAAAAATCTGGACGAAGTCGACTACCTCAACAGCGCACCAATGGCAGAAGAGGACGGTCCGGAGGACATAGGTTAAGACGATTGTGTGGTGGAGGTCGCAAATGTCCTACCTGGACAAAAAGCCAAGAGGGGAAGGGAGACTTGTTTTCGTAGGAGACATCTTCACATCGAGAGACTAACAATGACGCTCAGGAAAAAAACACCACTGGCAAAAAAGACGTATTGCCTGGTGCAATGCGGAAAAGGCAGCTGTGATGAGGCAGCTTGGCATGTTTGTTAGCCACATGGAGGTTTCTGGCCAAGCTGCATGCTTACGTGCCCTGTCAGCAGAAAATGCTCTGTCCTAGCGCTCATGGAGAGATGTTAAATCCATGTCCATAACGTGATTGTTAGAGCACGTCGTAAGGCGAAATGAGTCTCAGTGACTTACACATTAGATGTCGACTTCGTTCACGTTTGGATGATGCTCGCTAGTAAATTTCGCAACGACAAAAACGATCTCCTTGTTGTTGCTCCCGTTTATAGTAGCAATCTGTGTAGGTGGAGCTGATGAACGGTGAAAAAGCAGTGCTCACCAAGGGCAGTGTGGCGAGATTTGCAATTCTGGGCGGAAGATGACACCTAAGCACGGAAATAGACCCACCCCATTGGTAAAAACGCGTTATACCTGAATGTCAGTTTGGAAGCAAATTAGGTGTGTCATTCTCCTGTCGCATCTTTCCAATACAGGATTCAATGCAAATGCTTCTTTCTCTACGTCATTTTTGAGATCCGTTGGCAAATCTGACACCACTACACTTAACCAAAGCACACTTGTTACATTGGGAAGTGGTGGGCCACAGGGGCCTTTGACTAGTTTTTGAAGACTGGAATGGGCGCGTGGGCGTCGAGCACGAAATCTCGCATCAGCCAAACAGCCGACATGTTTATGAGGCAGCTCGTTTGGCTTCAGTGACTGACTGCAATGACTGTAACGACTGACTCATTGATTTTAGTGTTGCACGGTCCTCCTTCCTCGGTCAGCAGCTGATTGCTACATCCCGCCGCACCATGGATTCCACTTGTATGAAGAAAGTGCATATGCGTAATTGACACGTATATAAAAACCCAACACATACGCAAGCCGTGGGAAAGGCACATTTAACAGGTAGCATGAGCACGTGACTCACAGTTACACCAACAGCGAACCATTCACCCACACTCAGTCGCATAAGAGGCCATCATTAAGTAGACCGCTGCACTGACGCCGGCACAAGCCGTATCCCAAAAACGGGCCACAAACTGTGCACCCCACCAATGGAGGCCGCCGCGCACTCGCGCCGCCAGTCACATCCACAGCATCAGAGGCTGTGTGCTGTCGCCCTAAGACACCGGGGTTCGCGAGCAGGGTCGAGCAACATGGGGCTTTGTATACTGACTGGAACACCGACAGTGTAGAAGAGACTGTCGGAGTCACCTGCGAATGAGATGAACGGCGGCTGCCCGCCGAAGCACCTGAAACTGCAGTAGCTCGGTCAGCAGATAAGCAGTTCCAGCAGCCCCTCGAGTCAATTTTTCCACCGCTGTCTGGGGCGTCGCCTCCGTTGCCCGCTCCTCAGCCCCGGCCGCCCTCTGCTGCAACCGTTGCAACAGCAGAAGCTTCGGGAAAACCGCCGTCGAGTAGTGTGCCGCCGACCGGGTCATTGATGATGCTTTAGCACTGTTAGCACTATTAGTACTAAAGGGTCATGGAAACCCAAAAGGCGTTGGTTGCCCTTTCTCCTACTCTAATCGGGCCGTTGGGGACGGAAAACATTTAGTGTCCCGGGTGTCCAGCCGTCGGGGCAAACACTCATCGGGTAGTTTAATGAACTGCAGTCATTTGTTATTCGGTCCGAGGCGATTCCACAACATGGAGCCAATGTCGTATGGAGGTCGATGGAGCCAAAATTCGTTGGTGATATCAACCGGCCTGGGGAGGGCTTTTTCATGAAGAGTGTTCAGCAGGTATTAACATGGCGTATGCTGCTATTTATCCGACTTGATTTAGACTTCAACGGGACGACCGGAAAGTGCACCATGATAAAATAGAGTAAAACGATTGTTATATTATAGATGAATGATTTAAGCAGCAGAAAGCCTACGATCCGCCGTTATTTGCCTATACCTGAACGCAAACCAACAGCCTGACGCGCAAGCAGGAGCGCAGGGAGGGAAGGCCACAGGGGGCACGTTCCCCCTGCCTAAGGTTTCAGGGGACCCGAAGGGCCTCGGGATCTACGATTAAGGGCCTGATTTGAGGGCCCAAAGGCCAGAAAGGTCGGCTGGAAGACTATTCAGAGCCCCGGCCGGCACAATGGGGCACTCCAATGCCAGCGATATTTTTGTTTGGGGGGGGGGGGGGCTTTCACTATTGGGGAGCCCTTTATCAACCTTGTGCGTGCCCCTGGCCCATTGCCAAGGCTCTGGCCGCGCGCTTGTGCACAAGATAGCATATTGATATCTGGCCGTGTTTGGTTTGTCGCCGTCGTCTTTCAAAGGTGGCCGCGACACTGGTTTATGAGATGGTCGTTGCCTCGCTGATTAATTAACATGTTGGTTTCAAGCGATACATTTGTCGACAAATATCCAAAACAGACTGTTCGACATCGTCTCTCACCGGTAAAGGGGCCCTCAGTTTCCCAGCAACCCCAAGGAGTCCTTCTGAATGATGTTCGAGGCCCCCGACCTGAGAGCCTTTGTCCCTTTGTCCTTAATTTCCAAGTGCAACTCCCGGTCCTCAATACACAGCTGAATATGACAGAAAAGTCACACACGGTCCTCTGTTATCACTATGTCCTCGGTATTTTCAATTGCCAGTGTAAGCTAAAGATGGCAGCTTTACCCCTCGAACGACCCATCCTGTTCTTAAACAGCCAAATGGCTGCATGGCCTTCCAATTTGGCTGCGATGCCGCCATTCGTTCGGGTGGTTCTCGGTAGTGACGGCTGAGTCAGGTGTCCCGTAAAGCACGGCACACAAGTATGTGTGTGTGTGTGTGTGTGTGTGTGTGTGTGTGTGTGTGTGCGTGTGCGTGTGCGTGTGCGTGTGCGTGTGCGTGTGCGTGTGCGTGTGCGTGTGCGTGTGCGTGTGCGTGTGCGTGTGCGTGTGCGTGTGCGTGTGCGTGTGCGTGTGCGTGTGCGTGTGCGTGTGCGTGTGCGTGTGCGTGTGCGTGTGCGTGTGCGTGTGCGTGTGCGTGTGCGTGTGCGTGTGCGTGTGCGTGTGCGTGTGCGTGTGCGTGTGCGTGTGCGTGTGTGTGTGTGTGTGTGTGTGTGTGTGTGTGTGTGTGTGTGTGTGTGTGTGTGTGTGATGGATGTGATAACAAAATATTGAGTTCGTTTCATTTTTTTGCTACGTCTTTGGTAATGGGGTAGGTACATCGTGTGCTCGGGGCAAGGGCAGCAGAGAGCACTTTGGACGGTGCGTATTGCAAATGCTCTGGAACGGGAAGAGCCATGGAGTATGCAAAAGGCGTCCAGCAGCGGGTCGTATGTAGCAACACAGCGTGCGTATCAGTTCGCGTGCTGAACCGCTGGTAGGTACGTGTTCACTTGAAGGAAACATGCGCGTAGAGCCTGCGTGGGGAGAGTTTATAGGTAGCATGGCCCAGTACACATGTCTCGTGAGAAGGAGGCGCCAACTACATAGGATGTGCAAACAACACTTTTCGGAACATAGAATTGGGTTTTGCAGTCATTAACACAACACGGCATATGCTCAGATCCACACCAAAGTGACATAAATGGGGCTTACGGGTGGAGCCGAATGACGAATTAGGAAGAAAGAACGGGCCACGCTTTGAGGCGATGAGGCGATAAGGTGTGTCTTGTCAACCGACCTTGACCAATAGCGTATCCAGAGTGGTAGGGGGAGGGGGTGCGATGGGCTATGGCCTCTGTCCCTTGAGGCGAGGGGGCAACAAAATGTCATTGTGAAGGGGCAGCAAAATCTTCATTTCGGATCCACCCAACCTTTATCTTCAAAAGACCCCAAAATTCCACGGGCACCACCAATGACCACAAATATTTACTTTCGATAGGCACTGAAATTTGGGAACACCATAACCGGCCCAAAACCTTCATTTTCTACAGACACCAAATTTCAGTGATACAGTATTGTGCTTCCGACCCTGACGAAATCCTGGATTGGCCCCTTTGGCGAGGAAGCACCAAAATGATCAGTTTGGGGCACCATAACTGTAATTTTGCGGCACCATAACCTTTAATTTAAAGAGCCCCTCTGGCGGCCCCTCTGAAAAAGCCCCTCACTTCGGTTCACTCACCTCACTTCACTTCGGTCACACAATCGGCCCTTTGTGGGACTGATGCCCATTCTTCAAGCATGAACAAGGTCTGGGCCCACGAATGACGTTCAGAAGACCTCGCGAGTCGCATTGGTCGGGGTCCCCTTGTCGAACAGGATGTCCTCAGACCACAGTGCATACATAATAGGAAATTCTGTGCTGCTTGAGCCGGCCGGAGGCCCATTTGGTACCCATCACAGCCCACCACAGACCTTCTCCGTTGGTTCGGGCCCTCTGGAACGACAGAAGATTGATAGCAGTGAAAGGGTGCATAATGAGCCAATGAGACGGAAGAAGGGCTCCGATTCTCACAGGAGGCCCCAGTAACAACTGGGAGCCCTCTACCCCGCTTCGACCAGTGACTCGTTGGGGGAACTGGGCCCCCTGTGCAAATTAGTTGACCCTCTGTGCCCACAAGTGATCTTTTTACATCAGTGAGAGCCACTGGGTCGATCCGGCTGCAGCTGCTCCGGTCAGAAGACAGCCTGCGTCGGGGAGGGGACCGACGTACAATACATTCCGAGGGCCTCAGAATGGATGAAGGGGCCCCGATTCCCATGTCGCGGGATGGCAGCTGGTGAATATCTTAGGCTGGGATGGAAAGCTTTTTTATCCACCGACCGAAAAAAGTGATACCCCCCCGCCCCTGGTGTGCCACCACAT